CCTTCAAAAGAACAACTGGGTGCAAACCCAATAAACCTCATTTTTTTTCTGTACGTTTCCCACCTAGGTCACCATGTTTTCAGTCACAACCTGTGTTTGTGCAGAGTAATTTTACAGATTTTCCTGTGGTCAAATAGAAAGGTTGTTCTCACTGTAACGTCTAATGTTACAGAGCAACCTTGCCACATGCATTAGTCTGAATCTCTCCTTCAGTGTGGGCTGAGGTACATCCGTTTTCCTTAATAAGCCAAATATCGCTATCTAAAAGGAGTGTTTCTAATCTCCCCACTGTGAGGAGCTGGTATAGTGACAGGGAACAGAAATGACCTCTGGAGTTCTGTGCAGCCTGATGAGCTTTCACGAGGCTTTCAAATGCCGTGAGTTCCACACAAATGACTATAAATAATTGCCTAGGTTGGCCTGACCTCGGGTTGTCTGAGAAGATGATCTGATAATGGCACAAGTGACTCTGATTCTGTTCTGAAGCTGAGATCCCATTTAGGATTATACTTATTTGAACTCTGTGTAATTTAAGAAGAAAGCTTTCTGCATGCGCCAGTACTGGAAACACATTCTGAACACAAAGGTCACTGGTGTGGCAGTTGAAATCATCATGAAATAAGTCACTTGGGATATAAGTTTTATGAAATAATAATAATAAAAACGAAAGCTTACTCTCTGTTTGACAGTGCAGTTTTCTTTCCCTAGCCATGATCCATACCCAGTCCTCAGTTCTGCAGTCTGTATGCCCCGCAGATTCCTCCTGGCAGAGCTGTCAATTGAAACTTTGAATATTTTGGAATCTGCATCCATCTGAGAGCAGTTTGGAGAATGGTGAGCCTGCATCACCTCCTTGCCATCAGGCATCCTTACTTTCCCTACCACGGCCAGTGCTGAGAGTTAGTCTCCAAGAATTATCCCATTTCATGAAATGTGGTCCAAGAAAGAAAACATTCTTAACCAAAGCAGCTTTTATCACAGACTTGCTTAGTCACTCCTTCCATTTTTTTCCTAACTATGAACACAGCTAACCATTTCTTTCCTAAACTACTGTCTTGCAGAACACATAGTACTAACAGTCCCAAGACTTACTGCCAGTTCACCCCAAAGTGCTCAGAACTCACAGGATTTCTTCAGCCATGATCTTGATCTGTAACAATGAGAGCAAAACTGAATCTTCTTTGACCTATTAAAATGTTCCTAATCCCACCCAGAACGATCTGAAACTTTTCTTTTTAACAAAGCTTTCAAAATTTCTTAGTCAGTATATTTAAAAAAAAAAAAAAAAAAAAAAAAAAAAAAAAAAAAAAAAAAAAAACTCTGTCTTCGAGAGAGATGGAAAATAGTGTTAAAAGACAAGAACTGGCAGCAATTTCTCACAACAGCTATGCTTGTGACTTGGTGTTTTGTTGCTGCAATTGGTTCAGGTTCCACAAAAAATAATATTTTCTAGATTGCTGCAGAATGCAATGTCTTAGATAAAGTGATGAGTGCACTGCAAGGAGGAGTGCAAACCCTTTCAAAATGGGAACTGATGCTGTCAGTGAACATATCTGCTGTTACTGATGGTTGTACAAGGGGCAGAAAAAGTTTGGGAACTCCTGATGTGGAATAAATACCTCCCTAAAGGTAGATGGTCTGTACAGATTAACTGTGACCTTATTAGGCCAAGCTGTTACTGCGTTGTTTTTTTACTGGTACCAACTGAAAATCTTTCAACTTCTTAAAAGACTGGAACAAATCTCTGTATTATTTAAATATTTTATTTCTTTTCTAATGGTTGTTGAAAAGTAATGTAAGATTACTGTTTTGAGGAATTTAATAAGCTCATTAAATCTTTAATTCTTCAACACTACTGCATTTTCTGAAAGACTGAGTTTGGTATGCGTAAATCAGAGCTCTGGTCATCCATTTGCTCCTTAGCCAAGAGCAACCCATTCAGGGACAAAACTATGTGTTTGGGGAAGCTGATTTTATGTTGGCTGAAGTATTCATATGAATCATAAGTAGGTCTGTTTGCAGTATCCTAAACAGAACCACTCAAGAGGGATATAGATTTAATTAGGAAAACTTTGTGGAGGCAACAGAGTGTTTATAGGTGTGGGAAGGGTGACAGAAAAAAATGGCATTCCACAGTCCAAATTTCAGCTCTTTATACAGCATGTTGCTAGCAATAATTTGTAACCTATTAACTGAGATTTTCAAAATACCAGTATGATTTAGTCACGTCTTCCATAGAAGTGTAATGGATAATAAGCTTAAATAATATGTATTTTGAAAAAAATATATATTAAAATATTTTCAGTCATTACTCTGAAGCATGCTATTGTACATTTGTGTGAGGATAAAGAAAAGACAGGTGAGATCTACTGTGTTGGTAGGCAAGCTTCCAAGAGCATTAACATTTTATTTTAAGAGATGAATAAAAGCCTCAAAATTGCTTTAGACTTGGCAGGTAAGGATTGTTATGCTTCATCTTGCCTCTTGGCCAGAAAGCTCAGTAAGTGGGAGCTTGCCAGATACGACAGTCTTCCCCACTACCTGAATTTAATTTAAACCATTCTATGCAGCCCTGATTTTAATCCTTTCATTTTGGTTTTGAGTTACCGCATATATGGCACAATGGAAATCTTTTTTCAAACTTAAACTAGAAACATATTTTAGGAGACAAAAAAAGTCTGTCTTCTGTGCAGAATGACACATCTTTAATATTGGATGAAGTAGAGCCATTGTAACAATTTACTTGAAATTTCTGATGATCAATGGAGAAATCTGAATTTTCCGTAGTGTGTTTTTTCCTTCTCATCCTCCGCACAGTTTGTACACATTATAAAACTGGTTTATTCAGAATGGCCAATCTTTGCAATAACTAACAAAATATACATTTTTAAAGTAACTTGAAGAGTGATATGTTAAAGGTAAAAATCAATGTGATCTTCTATTTTGATGGATGATTACAAATGTGTGAAAGCTACTCCTTTAGCCAAATTGTCCAAGAGGAAATATAACAGAAACACATTCTGCACTCAGTATCTAGAGTACTGGACCACATAGGATCTGTTTCTGGAAAAAGTGCCTATGCATTATATCTGTACGGATGTAGCATGATGATGTACTGGGACTAGGGCTACTGTAATATTTTCTAACAGTTTGTTTATGGAGATGCCAAATTAGCTGATGTCTAATGAGCTGTTGTCTGAAATCTGCTTTTTTCAGGAAAAAAAGGCAATTAATTTTGATAAAGCTTTAGGAAGAGAAGTGTTGTTTGATGAATTATGACTTGAAATTGTCAGTGAAACTGACAGTTTATTGACTGTGAAATTGAATAAATGAAATTGACTTATACGGTGATCTTAGTAGTACTGATTGTGAGACAGTTCTAATTATGTAAATGAGGCCCCCAGAAAAATTGCTTATTTCTGTTGTGCTTAGGAAATGGTGGAGCAACCAGATTTAAATGTAGCTTCCCAGAGGTGGCACGTGAAGAATGTCATTCTGTCACCCATCAGTGTCAGGCAGGAGTCAAATCTGACACAGTTGTGCTTATAGACCAGGCAGACTGAAAGAGGAAGGGACTGACAGGGTATCACCAGAGAGGAAGACTTTTCTACAACATTCTAGCTGCCCTGGCAAAGTGTAAAAAGGCCAATTAGCTCTCTGCTTGTCCTTCCTTCCTGTTGTTCCCTGCTCAGATGTGAGCCACTCACAGCTTTTTCTTTAGGCTTTGAGTTGCTTTTTCTAAGGACTGACAGGAAATCATTTATAAACTGGGGGTAGGGAGAAGTTTCCTGTCCTCGTTACTCGCTAAATAATTGCTAAGCTAAGAGAGAAGACAGTTCAGACAACTGAGCAGACCAGACTGCCGCCACGAGTATTCTTATCTGTGGTCCTCAACAACTGGGGCTGCCCAAGCTGATGATACCCCCATGGATTTGGCCTTTGCCCTAGTAGGAACCCCAAACACTTTAAATGTGCTTTAAAAAAGTAAGTTGAGGTTTAAGTAGATGTTATAAAAAGGATGTGCTTTCAAGGCCTCAACTATGTTATTAGGTCTGTGCAAGCAGGCTGCAGCCTTGTGTCCCTTGCTGGAACCTTAGAGATGTTTAGTGATGAATCAGTCTAAGTGAAGGCTATTTTGCAGCACATGTAAAACGCGTAACTGGGGTTGATTATGTATTTGTCTTGTCTTACTCCACATCTTACTCCATGATCCTCAAGTATAAGAGTTTTATTACTTTTAATCCGAAAGACATGAAGACAAAAGCAAAGTTCAGTTTGTGTGAGTATCAGTGACTGAACAGTGCAGGCATGAGCTGAGCTAAAGACCGTGAAAATCCCCATAACCTCCTCTTGCCAACTGCAATCTTCTCTTGCCAGCCCTGCACTTCATTTCTGCACTTCAGTGAAGTTTGTGCATCCAATCTCTGGGGTTGTGGGCAGAAAATGCAGACAGCTGAGATTCTGCTCTAAAAGTCTACTACTGTCAGATGGCTAAAATGCACAAGGAAGTTACCTAAACCCTACCTACATTTCTGATGCGTTTTCTTGTCTAATTCTCCATCCCAGTAAATTTGAAATACAGTTATGCATTTGCTAAAGAATGAATGTACTTGTTCAAAGTTATCTAAAAATATTATTGTAATCCTTTGAGTGTATGAATGATAGTCTTAGAAGTTCTGTAAGAAAGCCCAAAGCAAGTTTGGATATTTCATACTTCAACAATCCTACTGAAGAGATGCACTTAAAGAGTGCCACATAGAAAAAATAATAATAAAACAATAACCATTCTGTGATGTGTCAGATTCAGTAAAGAGTACTTTCTAGCTAGTTTCTATATTAAAAGCAACATTGACTAAATCTGTGCTATTAATGTAAAAAATCTAAGTTTTGCTGTGCTTCCAAGTGTATTAGTAGGTATTATTGAATGTCTGAAGACAAATTATTTACTGAAATCGTGGCACTTGTTCTCTGAAAGGAGTGTGTATTTATTTCTTGAACAGACAGCCTCAGTCCCACTGAGAAACATCTCAGAAAACACAACATTTTGGAAGGACCCTGAGAACAGCTATGACAACATTCTGCAAGATGTGAAATTTGGTAGACTGCCTGCTTCCAGTGATCCAGGGACCCTCTCAGGTACAGTGATGAGTTCAGTTTTATCAAGGTCCTTAGCAAATTTCAGGTGAAGAGATTAAAATATTGAATTGGTAGCTTTGCCCCTTCTGGGAGTTACCTCTTCTATGTTGTAGTGGAAAGCAAAGAAAACTTTAGGTTTGGCTGCATTTTGCAATTGTCACTTGACAGTGTTGAAGGATTGCAAATTTTTGCTCAAAACCTGAAAGAGAAGTTCCATACCAGGGATGTGTTTTATATATTTGCACTATGTTCTCTCTCTGGTCTCAGCTGTCTAGCTGTAAATCTAAAATCAGCTGTAAATTCATTGTCATGGTTTTACATACCTACGTATCTATTCTTCAGAATTAGCCAGAATTAGCAGAAGTTAAAGAAGTCCCCAGAATCATGGTATTCACCTGAAGTTTATTTCGATGCAATGTATTCTACTGTAATTTATTTTTACTTTTAATTTTTATCTGCAGCCCCAACAACAAAAACCCTCTCCTTTTAAGTGAAACAGATGAGGGTTTGCAACATGGTCTTTTGTGTTTGTAGGAGCTGAGACTTTCTCAAAAGTACTAAAAGTTGCTAAAACAAAGAAAAATTGAGTTTAGTAAAGATCAGACTGGTGTTCTTTAGTAAGACTTGGAACTATTCGGCAGTCCTTGCACTGTTGTTAAGCTGGCTTTGGGAGAATTCAGTCTGAAAAGAGGGCATAGGGTACAGATGTGTGTGACAGAGCAGGAATGCTAACTGGTCGTTACACTAAAAGCCACTTCTAGTTTCAGTGTTTGACTCTCTTCATGAGAACTGCAGGAGAAACAAGTGAGAGAGCAATTAAAAAGCAAATATCAGCAACCTGACGTTGAAAATACAGTTGGTTACAAATGCTGGACATTATTATTATTCTGTTTTGTTTATAACAATTTTGAAAGTGAGTTAAAGGAGAGCATTGTTCTTTTGTTTCTGATATTTTTATCACTGATCATAATTTCTGCATAATTTCATCTTCTTTGCATAACCCCCATAGGCTTATGGTCACCTCTCATCTCAACCTGAGAGGCTGAAATCAATTTTAAACTAAAATCTTCAAATTGAAGGGAAAAGAAGTTCATAAATTATCATATATCCATTCAAGTAAAATCTTACTGAGCTTGTTTCTGTTAGCTTACTGTTATATCCTGCCTTGAATATTCTTTTCAAAAGTCCTTTGTGATTTGTCTGAACCTACAGCGGTAAATTTTCTTCCCAATCTTTGTCATAGCTGAGCTACTTATGTGTGGAAAGATTGTTCATTTGGTTTTATTTTACTTTGTTCCTTAGAAGCTTTGCCTGGAATTTTAAATTAAAGGAAAACTTATATATAAGTGCAAAGAAGTTTCAGTTTCAGGTAGCAAAGGTCTGAGTGGCTCTTTCAAATAGCTGTGACTATTTTAGCTAGTACATAACTACTTCTAATAATCATTAGATGTATCAACCTGCACATAATTGGACTGGGGTGAAAGTATGCATTCATGCACATTAATTGAAATATCTGACCTGAGCTTTTATATCCAGAAATAGGTTGTCAGTTGTCTCTCCTGTCAAAATACCTTCACTATGAATTTGTATAGCATGTGTTTTTTCTCCATACTTTCCTTATTTTTTCCTGAACTATGTTCTTGTAGGCTGTTCTGTTCTTGATATAAACCCACTTGGTCTGTCTTCCCCCTTAGCCTCCAAGGATTTAGCCTGTGAGGGGGAAGTGTTTAAAAATAATTCCAGTTATGGTAGAACAGCCTGTATCCTTTCTATAGAGTAGCTGACATCAGACTTCTGAGTTCACAAGATGGTCAACAAAAGATCAGTAAAAACATCTAAGGATTCTGAAGGACAAAGATTTTTTTTTTTTCCCCCTCTTCCCTTTAAAGGGAAAACGTGACTTTCCAAGCAGCAGACTTTCAGACTGTGGAAGCTTGAGTGATACACGCCTCTTATTAAAATTAGTGCAATCACGTATCCTAAAGAACTACCCAATTGCTCAAAAGATGTGCCTCTAAATATACATGTAGCTCTTCTGTAGTACCAAGTTAAATTACAGATGAAATATTAAAGGGCCCTGCATCTGAGTGGAGCTAAGGAGAGAAATCTTCCCTAACTTCTTTCTGACTTTGTCTGAGAGACATGTGTACCCGTGCTGGCTCTCGGGAGTTGGGTGAGGGATGTAATTTGCTCAGTAGATCACATTAAAGCTGGGGGAGGTGAAGAGAAGCAGCACGAGGCTGCTGATGGAAAATTTCTTTAGAGCTGGCTGTATGTGCCTCTGGGAAAAACCCAGTGTCTGGCTGTGGCTGCCATGTAGCTTCTCAGCACGTAGAAGCTTAAAGGGTTAGGAGATACAAGACAAAACGTGAAGAAGAGAGAAAGTTTAGGCAGGAATCAGCCAAAATTGAGAGGGAGCTAAGTAACAGCTCTGTGACTTGCTCTGTTTTCAGAAGCAACTGCATTACTGCCACCCAGCAAGGAGACAGCAGGAAGCTGGGTGGCCTGCTCAGTCACCTTGCACAGCTCGCACTATTGCAGAAGGGATTTAGAGCAAACATCTGAAGTACAGGGACGAAAAGAGGGCAAATGGCAAAGCAGAATATTTCCTTAGGCTTTGATTTCATAGCCTCTGAAACTTCAAAGCAGAAATTTTGCAGAGGGCTAGAGAAGAGCATAGGCAGAGAGTACATGCTCAGCATTTGTGGCTGGTCGTGATGTTCAGCAGTACCTGAGGCAGGAATGACAGCAAATATTTGCAAATGCTTTTGTTGTCCTGCTGTGGTGCGTACCAAGAACTTCAAATGCTGCAGTACAGCAGATTGTCCTCAACCTAATGTTTCCTCAACTACTTTTGAGAACCTTTGAGGGGCTTTGGAGACATTCTAGCACTCATTGGAGAACATCACAGGATTGTTCATGAAAGCAGTGGTATTTTTAATACATCAATATATAATTGGAAAACCATTTATTATGCTTTCTCATTCTCTCCTACTTACCAAAGCCAAAACTACTTATAAATAGATACCTGTTAGGAACAATATTTTACACTCTCCAAAATTTCTTGGATTACTTCTGAAAGCCTAAATGTTGAAATCATTTCCTTCAAATAGAATTTCAAATTTCTCTTTTTCCAGGCATATGAGATTGAATGAGGAAAGTAAAACACTCATTTGTTTTGCAGTGACAGTTTGACATAACACAACTTACGGGGTAACAGCGAAAATGGTAACACGTTTCAGTTGGGTTGACAGCAATATTGATGTTTGCAGAAATGAACTGTAGAAATCAAAAAACATAACACCAACATATTTATCAAAGAGTAATTAAAATAACCCTTAAATTTAAGAATCTGTTAATGCTGACATTTCAAATGAAATTTTAGTTTCAAAACAATACGTCCAGCAAAATGTAAGAAAAACTTCTATTTTAAACATTCTCCTCCCTTCTGCTGCCTCAGAACGTAACTCCTGTTTCATGCTATAAACAGCAAGCTACGTGAACACGAGCGCGCCTTCCCACCACCTTCTGCTCAAGAGATGTTGACACATAGGAGTGGCAAAGAGGAAGGTGCAAACAGATGAAAATCCCAGCTGAATGAGTGGGTTTTTAATCTTCTTGCACCTGTTTCCAGGAGGGGAGTGTGACAGTGATAGGGTGCAGAAAGGAATGTTACAACCTGGGCAGCAGGATGTGGATGGAGGCAGAGGTCCCCAGGGGAGAGTGGGCTGGAGGAGGCTGCATCGTATTGCAGACCTTGAATTTGGAAGAGCTGAGGTATTGAAAGGATTTAAAAAAAAAAAAAAAAAAAAAGTCAAATAATTTAAGAGCAGTATTTAGATGTGGTTTACTCAGGAGAAGAGAGGTATTTACCTGCACAGGATCTAGCACAATATGGAAGTATCAGCTTTTGAAATAATTTCCAAAATACATTGTTTTGATGCAACAGCAGTGACTGCTGCATGGATTTTATGCATAGCAGAATGTGATGCTATCTTCAGAGATGACAGCTTGTGTACAAAAGGGGGTTGTAAATGCTTAAAAGTGTAGTACATTGAAAATAAAAATTGTCCCAAGTAGGATGTGCTGTTAGAGGAGAGAGGATAGCACGGCCTCTGCAGAGTCTGTGTGAACAGCCATTGCCTCTCAGAGGCAGAGCAGTGTGCATAGAAGGATTTGCTGGAAGTCTTTGCAACCTTATTTTATTCACCTCCAGCAGCACATCACTGGTGTCCACACGGTTAGTGGGCCTGAGCCCATATTTGAGAAAGTCTGATAGGAGTCCAGAAGGACACCCAGGATTTCCAGCTATTTGTTCCCTAATATTTCTTTTTGGTAAGGTGATAGAGTTGGCTGACATACTGTACTTCGCAATGTTTCTGGGAGATTGCAAACCTGCCCCTTTGCAGCAGGTATCTGGATCCTGGGTCAGCTTCATTATTACTAGCAGTGGAGGCAGCACAGGTGCTGCCAAGCTCTAGTCTAGCTGCACTTACAGACCTTCAAAATAACTCAGACCAGAAATGAATTTGAAATGTTGCTATAAATCCCGTGTTGTTGCTATAAATCCTTGGGCTTTTTCCCCATTCAGTCTCTTTTGTGTGGATTCCTGGCAAGTGTGACAGGAGCACAGGGCATTTTTGATATATGGCATCAGGTCCGTTAGTTCAGAAACCCCACACAGAAGCTTGTTTTTAGAAAGAGAGAAAATAAGATTAAACAGGACAGGGAATGCTGTTATGAAGGAATGAAAATATTTTCATTACCAGAGTATTTGTATGTCAACAGCTGATAGGGAATGATGTGAGACATTCCCAGAAGGACTCCCAAAGATTTTCCTTGTGCAACAGACCGATTAGCAGAGCCCAGATTAAACGAGCAATGTCATAATGCTTTTTGCATTAAAAAGTGTGACATTCAGCCTCTTTATCTGGTAAATATTTGCTCTTTTTTTTTAATCCTTGTGACTTGCATTATACTGCTTTCAACAGCTCTCCTTT